AATGCATAAATAAATTAACAATAACAACTTTTAACATTTTAGAAGCCTTCTATAACCGTAGAAGTAAGCTCTAAAAAGGGAGTATTTTCAAGATATCTAATGATCATTTGCATTTATATTTATTTAATACAGTAAAAAATACAATCTGATATAAAACATGAAAGTGGGGTAGGTAAGAATCTCGTTAAATATAAATATATTGACCAGACAATGTAATTATTACGATTTTGATCAAGAAACTTAACCACGTGGATGGGCCTATAAAGTTCGTCTTTATCTCCAATGGAGTTCGAAAATTAATTTAATTCTACAAAAAACTATAATGTCTGTTCGAGATATTGATTAAAATCGCGTAAGCAGGCCTTAAGAGGATTACATAAATCAATTAATAGGATTATTGCTAGGTTTTCGTTTAACCATAAGACATTTTTTATATTGATAAATAACTGCACCCTCTGATAGGGAATAAATGAACGATTTTCTTGAACCTCATAGTCTCCAACAAATCAAGTAAATGATGTTGCAATTATTGCTAACCGAAACAGTTGTTAGAATAAAGTTGAGTTCAGTATAGTAATGTATTATTAAAGTTATAAAATGACCTTCCTTCATTATATTCTCTACCCATTCCCTCACGTAAAAGCACTTTATATAAGACCTTGAATTTAATTCCCTTGAATTTGTACTTTGAGGGAGAATACTAGTAGGAGAGACAATTAAACTGTCTCACAGAAAAGTTATAAGGAAAACCAGTACTGGGGTGCTAATGAGGCGCTTATGGTAATAATGAGGGCCGCCATGTTTCTATCAGACACATCTATACAAGTATGAAGTTCATTGCGGTTGAGATAATTTGATTCATGGACAAACAGTAGTACGAGCTACGGTAGCTTAATAATACAGTGAGGACATATGGTGTCAACTTCTTGATTGGTTAGCCATCTTGGGTCATCCCTTCCTACCTGCTTGGCTCTTTAGCCACATCAAAACTGTTAATTTTTTTTATTTTATTAACAATATTTTAGTTTAGAAGTTTAATTTTGTTGTTTTAGGGATATATTTAGTTTATCAATAAGTAGTTTTTATTGAATAGTTATACGTTTTAGTATTTAAAGTGATAAGTTTGGTTTCATCTTCATAGACTTAAAGTTGTGGTTATATTTTAATTCTTTACTTCATTTTATTAATCTTCCTTTTTAATTCAGTGGTAATGAAAGAAAAAAATGAAAATTAAGTTTGAAACTTGGTTATATGGTTATCCCAGGGTCCTCCCACGGCCGATGAAACAGAATAAATACTTTTTTCTGCCATGAGCTGGGATTCAAACCTGAGACATTGGGTATAGGAAGATTAGTGTCATGCCACTGAGCTACCCCACTCTCTTAATAATAGAATAGATAGCAATGCAACTACATCGCTATTTCACCACCGACAGGAATATATTATCGCATTCTGAGTGTAGGGGTTATGAAATACAAGTTGTTGCGGCTAAATTGATGAATATTTAATTTCAGACTCTTAAATAACATTTAATTTTAGTCTCTAATTTCAATTCGCATGATAGTAAACATGTTCAGAGACAACTCTGTTGCATTACCTTTCATAAATACTTTTTTGCTATTATTATTGTTCTCAAATTAATTCCTAAACAATCTGATCATCCGGTATTAAATTATATTCAATAATCGCTTCCAAACAGTCTAGTATTACGTATTAAGTATTACGTTTATTTTATCATATGTGGATTGAGTTTCATTGGTACCGAACTCAGGTTTTTCTTTGTACTGTGGTGGATATTGGTGTTAGTGTGGTTCTATTTTTTAAATGTGGTTTTTAATAAATAAATAGTGATGTTAAAATAAGTAAAAACTATTTAATAGAAATGCACCAATATGATTAGACATATACTAGATATGTTGTCATAATTCGGTTCAAATATAAGAATAGTGCATGTATCGTACATAATGTTATGGATAACATAGATTTTTTATTTATTTTTTTTATATTTGGGTTTTATACAACTTCAGGAGTCATATCCCCACACCCAAAAGCCACTCTCCCTGTCCAGCCAATCTCCTTCACGAAGCCCTCTGGCTGCCATGCTTTCCTCCACGTCCTCTATCCATTTCTTCTTGGGCCTTTCACGCTTCCTTCTTTCAAGTGTCCTATTATTTATTTTATGTTCGATGTCAACATCACTACCTCCCTTTGAAGATATCCGAGGTACTTGAACTGCTGGCTGACATTTAGTGTCCAGTCATCAATTTCAAGGGGCAAGTTTGGAACGTTGAAAACCATGCACTTTGTTTTACTTTTAATGATTTTCAGACCCAATCTGGAATACGTGTCTAGCAAGTTCCTCATCATATAGCTCACATCATCCAGATCCGATGCGATTATGACTTTATCATCGGCATACTGCAAATTGTAGATGACATCATTCCCGATTTGAACACCCATTCCACAGCACGATCTTTTCCATTCTTTAAGAGCTTGTTCTATATAAATATTGAAAATCAGAGGTGAAAGGCAGTAGCCCTGTTTCGATCCTTTGTTAATCCTTCTAGACGCTCTATCTCCTATTTTTATAGCCCCTGTTATATTTTTATAGAGCTCTTGAATTGCTCCGATGAGGTATCTCTTAATAGATGTGGCTTCCAAAGCTTTCCACAATTTCGCTAGAGGTACTGAATCGTAGGCCTTGTGTAAATCTACAAATATCATGTGGAGTAGAATATTTATGTGTAGCCAAAATTTTTAAAATATCTTGTGTATATCTAATCTTTACTCTAGAGTCCTGTCCAGTCTAGAAAAAATGTAATTGGCAAGATATAGTATAGTGTATATTAAATATAGTATGAGTGCAATATTAAACCAAATTGGAAAAACCGACATATTAATGTCAGGTTATATATATTTGAAGGAAGAAAACAATGTTGATATTCGTTTTTCACAAAACTAAAAAACCTCGAATACTATTTTTTATGGCAATATTAAAATAAAAATCTGTTGGTCAACATTGTTGACCTACGCCGATTCAGTGATTTAGGGTCTTACAGACTACACAAAATAGCATAACCCTGACCTCTTTAAGGAAATTAGAACCTCATTTAATACCATCGACCAATAATAATAACCTGAAACCTCAGCAAAGGACAAGGCAAAAAAAAATAAATCCTTTTAATTACATTTTTCTCTTTAATTATTTTTCTCGGCTCCCAAATCGCACTGGAATGTGTCCAGAAAAATACTTGTCCATTATTTTTCGATGCAGAATCACAAAAAAAAAAAAAAAAATAATGAAATCGGTGTACCACTGACTGTTACCTCCCATTTAAATTGCTTTGAAGAATCTTTCTTCGTACCTTCAATAACGTTTCATTTTCATTATCAAGTATCCAATTCTTACAATCACGAGATGGCCTTACCTCTATAAGTACACCTGAACATTAGAGGCTTAGTTAGAAAAACGAACTCTAAACCTCAATTTCTTCTATGAGATAGTTCTTTGCTGTCATAAACAAACCCAAGACCTCTAAACTGTTTTTTGATCTTCCCAATATTGATAGTGAAACGATAAATAGCATATCGTAGAGAAGAGGTCATTCTCACGCGGCTGAGGATCGGACATACTAGACTGACACACCTCCACCTCATAACAAAATATCATATCTCCAGATATGAAAAGTGTGATCAGTCATTAACTATAAGACATATTTTGGAGGGGTGCCCTTTTTACACCGCAAGGTTAAAAGATGTGGAAATACCCCAGATATATCCATCCATAGGAAATCAAGAAGAAATCCTTAGCAAAGTTATTAAGTATCTAGACAATGAAACAATTATAAAACATATATAAGAATTTTATAACTAATGATCCTTTTCAGATTTTTTTTTTTTTTTTGTACCAACCACCAGAACAGTATAAAAGTAGTGTTATTTAGTGGGGCGCTGATGACCTGGATGTTTTGCGCCTAGACATCGAAACAAACAAACAAATAGCATATAGACAGTGCCTGTAATTTATTAATGAGAGTATTCAAACATTTTAATTACAGGTCCTGGCATTAGCTGCTATCTGAATCAAATCTAAATATACATTGAGTGCAAATTAAATAAACGAAGTAGATGATAATTTATATGTAAAAAGGAAAACATTTTCTACGCAGAACCCATTGTAACGATGAATTATTACATACTTAAGCACTCAACAAAGTAAAATGGAATGTAAGAGATAAAAGATAGAACTTTAGAACGATAGCACTTTATACACTTTAGAACTTTTAACACGTTTTTTAATGACCTTATTCCTATTTAAGTTTCGAGGGATTTAAATCAAAACAACGTCGATTACTGCATATTTTTCATAACATTTTTTTTTTAAAAGTGACAAAAAATAAGATAGCATCAGCTAAATTCAAAACAACATTCGAAACTGAATAATAACTTCATCGGAATTGTATACTGATGATTTTTAACAATACAAAAGAAGCAATAAATATTATATACACATAAATAAATAGAAGCAATTGAAATTACGTTTACTGTTTATTATGTCCAACTGATATATTAAATACCATTGCGCGATCGTGAATTTAAAAGAAAAGTATCAAAATAGTTTTAAGTTTGATAAAGGATTCAAGGGATTGGAGTACCTCTGTGGGTAAAGCACTCATTTCGAAAGCTCCTGGCTATGTCAGCCGTGGATAGGAGCCGTCGGGAGACCCTTCTAGGTCACACACATCTTCTTTAGGTTACGTAATTAAGTGATTAATTAAGAAGAAAAACCTGGCAGTTGAGCGTGATCTAGACCTAATCACTTCCCAGCACAACCGTTGGTCTCGGAAACAGTACTTGCTTACAAAGTACTGAACTCAAGACCACTGATGGGTTGAAGTGGTACAGATTTTTTTTAAGCAATAATGATTAGCTTATTTATATATTTCTTATATTTATATACTCATGGATGTTAATTATTTCAGGTGTAATTGTGATGTCTAATGGAAGACTGTCCCGTATTCAGAAACTCGAGCAACGACACCGACTTCCAACATGTTCCACTTCGAAATTACACTTATATCTTCATTTGCAGTCCCATCATAACGTTCTGCGTCTTCATGGTCGGTTATAACCTAATGATCTTGATGTCGCTTTACTGGATCAAAAGGCCGATATCCACCACTCTCCACATTTCGTTGAGCATGGCAGGATCGGACGTCTGGACCCTCATCCTAGACAGCCTAGGACTCCTCTTCAACAGCCTCCTTCCGATAGGCCTGGGGATCGAGGAGCAATACCTCAGCGACTGTTCTCTCCTAATCCTCGAGGGGCTCAGAATGGGCGGAAAACTAACAACAGTTGGTCACCTTCTATTTTTAGCACTAAATCACTATTGTGGGATTAGAAAACCACTACAATACCATCAGAGGTACCATCCTATCTGTTGTAAATATTACAGTATTTGTATAATCTCAATAGCGTTATGGATAGTCCCACCGGCCGGAATAATTGCATATTTTTCATTAATACCAGATGATGGTCTCAGTCACCAAGATTGTACATACAAGTAAGAAACCATATAAATTATTGTTAATATATTTGGCATACCTTAACTGACTTACCTATTTGCATACGATTTTCGTTTTATCATTATGTTATACTGATAGTTATTTTGGTAATATATGTATATTATTTATTTAGTATACATTATATTATATTAAATTGTTATATTTTTGATAATTCTAGGTTCTTATTGAGATCAGGCTTCAGGAGAGGATTCTCTTTGATATTCTTCAGCTCAATTATTATAATGGCAATGATATATTATCACATATACAGAATTGTGAGACGGCACCAAGCAAAACGAGACAAATTTCGAAGAGTAGGGTCACATTACACCAGAAACCACCAGGTAAGAAATAATTAAAACCTAATGATTTATAAAAGAATGAGTGCATTTAAACAATTTCTTAATTTAATTATTTCTTCAAAACAAGCTGGAAGAGTAAATCAAACAAAATCTACAGTCTTTGCAGGGCCTAGAACAACAACAACAACAGGAGAACAGAAGAGCCATCATCACCACCCTCCTCATCGTTGGCTCGACGGTGGTAGGTTGGCTGCCGGCATCACTGTCTTTCGCTCTTGTGTGTGAGTGCGATTGCGTTTTCAAGAATTTCGGTTCTGAAACTATAAGCACAGCTGTAGGAGCTGTCTGCAATACTCTCCTAATACTGAAGACAGCCTTTAACTCCTACATTTACACTGCAAGGATGCAGGAAATCAAGGTAAAAAAATTTAAATAAATCAAAACATCAAGATAATTATCAATTATAATTTATTCTTGTTAGTTTTCATCTGGAACCTTAATATATGGTCGAAATTCGACCATAGCCATTAAAAATTACAGGAAAAGATATAATTGAATAAAAAATAAAGTAAATAAATAAAGAGTAAATCACGATTCAAAAATCCTCATTTATTAATACAAACAATATTTCAGTTTCAATTAAAAATCGAGCGCGTCATTTAAAATTATTTAGAATTAATACAAAATACACTCATTCAAAAATATTTAATTTTCATTTTAATTTATGTGTTGGAACCCCCATACCAGACTGAAACGACTAGAAACCGCCCGACGTTTTCGACTACTGCAGCACTTACTAGACAAACGATCTAAGCTTTCAATCAATTATAAACGACTCGTAAATATGACAATAATAAGACCTATTTGGACTTACGGAATTGAGCTTTGGGGCTCCACTAAACCATCGAATTCCTCTCGTATCCAATCCTTACAATCCAAAATCCTTCGTAAAATCCTCAACGCTCCTTACTTTGTCACAAATAAAATCATCCATAAAGACCTTAATGTTCCATATGTTTCCGATCTGGCCCAATCCAGATACCTTTCCTTCCATAACAAACTGCAGAATCATCCGAATCCTCTCGTTTCAAACCTTGCTTCCTCCTCGATCCCTGATAACCCTCCGAGGCGTCTGAAAAGAAGATGGCCTCGGGATCTTCTAATATAGAACTTTAATTTGAGTTCTACCAATGGGTAGTTTCTCTTCATGTTGTACATGCCATGTTACAAATTTCTCATTTACTTATTGTATTCTCTATGTAATACAGTTGTAAATTCCATTGAAATAATAAAAAAAAAATAAAAAAAAAAAAAAATTTATGTGTGTTATTATAACAATAAATAAATATTATAACTAAGCAAGTAAAAAATAATTTAATTTGGCAATTTAAATTCACTTTAAATCCATTTTTATTCAAAACTTCTATGTAAATAATGTTTTATTTGAATGTTCTGTTATTGTTTAGTGCATAGACCCAATTTAAATTTCCAATGGCCCATTGCCATTGAAAATAAAAATTTCAATATTTTAAATGAACGTGCTCTAATTGCCGCCACATATAATTGTCCATGCGAAATTACTGGACGTCACAATAATATACACATTTTTCCAAAACTTTTATCCTGCGATTTGATTATGGTTATAGCAAATGAAGCTATTAATAGGAACGTTGTTCTTTGAAAGTTGAATATAAGTAGTTTCAGAAAATGTTAAATTAATTCTTGGAATTAAAATTCTTTAATTTAAAGTAGCCCCCGTTAATACTACTGTCTCATTCCTGTTCGATTAACTACTGCTTGTGCAGTATTTAAGTTAACAATGAGTTATAACTATAGAAAATATTTTTAAATTTAATTTATTAGATATCATTCCACTAACATTACATGATATCATCTCTTCAAATAATAGACCCAATTACCTCAGTAAATGGAAAGTTTTCGATTTATCAATAAACGAAATAAAAGAAATCGAACTTGGAAGGGAAAGAAAACGTACTAAATGTTTAAAATGATATATCTCTGCAACAAATAGTCCGATTTCGATGATTTTTTTTTTCATTTTGTAGGGAATCAAGAAAGCTTTCGAATACATAATGGTTTAATCCATAAAAAAAAGTGTACTTTTTGAGTTAATTGCAAATAAAATACTGAATTTATAATAAAAATGTATGCAGCTTGTTTTCGGTAAAGTATGTGATATACATGAATTATAAAGGTTTCAAAGGGAAGACTTTAGCCAAGTTTCATTGAAATCGTTAAAGCCGTATTGGCGCTACAGTCTAAAGCCGTTTCGGCCGCCATTTCGAAAGGAAAGGACCGATGATAATGAAACGTATAGAAAAAAACTTCTGAATATTATTGCAACGTTATGTCAAAATTTAAAAAAAATCGGTGAGGAATTTTCGGAGATAAGGCGTTTTGAACAAACTACCATTTATATTTTTATTCACATACTATTTAATATTTTTATTTATTGATAACACTAAAGCTCGTCAATATCTATTAAACAAAAAAAAGAATGAAGAAAATCGGTTGAATAATAGAGGAGTAAAAGGGGCTGAACCGATTTGTGTTTGCCTATTTATATAATGATAAATAGTAATTACTAACGTCCAATTTTAACCCTCTTATTTAGAGAAGATTTAGAGTAGGCCCTCCACCCTCCGAAAATGGAAAAATATAACCGTGTTTTATGAAAAAATCATCTCTAAAACTATTATTATTATCTTATTAGTAATTATCTTAATATATACATAAAAAAAAATCTTTCAGGCTGAAGCCGCCCCAAAATTAAATTCTGGATCCGTTAGTGCTCCCACGTAGTGTTTTGATAACTATGTAGAGGTTTTCTTAGGAATAGCTTCCAGCTACATTAGCCTGGTTTAGTACCCAGGTTTGCAACTTCTGCAGACTGTAAATCTTCTTTCCAACGGAGCCTTATACCGAAAATAGCTTTATCATACGAGTAATATACCTAGATGTGAGATTTCTGGATATTACGATACTAATATAATTACTTTTTGTAATGTTAATGGTCTTGATTTTTTGTTATCTGTAAGCTTTAATCATTAGCTCCGTTTAACTGCAAATCAAAAATTTTATAAGAGCCCATCATTGCCAGAGAATAATTTCTTTTCAAAGCAGAACGGTAAGCGAAAGTTGTGTGTTGCGCGCATCAGATTTAACAAAGAGACTAGGAAATACATTTGTTTATTTAACCTATAACTGATTATGAATTGTACTACTATCAATTATTAAACTGTTATTTTCCAATTATAAAGTTTACAAAAACAGGGTCAAGAGATTTTCATTGCCTACCATCGATAGGTCCTAACTTTTCACACTAATTGTAAGTGGATGATGTGATTTTAGGGCAAACACATAAAATTATTCACTAATTTGTTCCTGAAAATATGCATGCTTTTTCAAAACGGCACTAGTTCACAAGAGTTCCGCACGGATTACGCATGGTTCACAATCACTACGGTCAAACTTGTTTCTGGAATCCCGAATGCGTTCGGGTTTATCCGAAAGATAACTAAGGCGACCGATCTCTTGGGCCAATTACTATTAACTTTCCCGCGATTTAATAAGTACTTCTATAACCTTAACCATGTTCAGTTCTATAGCAGGAGCCGACTTGCATTCTAAATTAAGGTTTTCACATCATGAAACCTGAACTGAACTTGTACATCATAGATCTGTAAAAAAGAAACAGTAATAGATAAAAATCTTTAATTATTACATCTCTGAATGTTATTTCATGATATTATTTTTCTTATTGATGATTTTCATTATTCATCATCTTGGAATTATCAGTATATTCATAAATCTTTAATCTGACATTATTTTCATAAAAAGTATCTTTGACAACTTAATAGTGGACTCTCATATCTTAGAAATCCAAAAATCTACAAAAAATCGACGAACAATTTTAAATCAGACAGTATATTCATAAGCTCCGACGACTAGAAAATAGTGGATCCCTATATCTAAGAATTCAAAAAAGTTACATAAACTTCATGTTTAATCTCAAATCTGACAGAATATGCATACAAAGCGCTCCCCTCCTCCCACTAGAAAATAGTTGATGCTCGTATTATTAGAAATCCAAAAAATTACATAAACTAGATAGATGACAAACTAAAAAAGGCTTGCTAAAATAAATTATAAATGCAATTATTCCAACTTCGATTGAAAAACTCGGACAACAAATAAAAATATAATAGATTACTTCAAATTATTTATTATGAAAATGATAAAAAAATCTTAACAGACCTAGAAGAAACGACTCAAACATTATTTTATGTATTTTTTCTTTTTACTTCACAATCATAACAATTATAATAAAAATTGATAATTGACTAATTAGTAAATACACAATTTGTTAATAAATTGTTAGTAAGGAAGTTCCATGAAGGGAATACGTAGGTTGTTTTTTTTCAAAAATGCATGAAAAGGGTTGTATGATGGGGAAATAGCTGATGTCATAAAAGACGACAACATTCGGCTGTTTTCGGGATTCCATGAACAAGTGTGATCGAAGTGATTGTGAACCACGCGTAATCCGTGCGGAACTGTTGTGAACTACTACCTTCAAAACTAACCGACGATAGATATCTAATAATTTAAATATATTATTAGATCTCGACTTATTAAAAACTACAGTATATGTATTTAAGTTTATGTTTCGCGTTTTATGTGTAAGAATATGTTACACACAACCATGAAATATTTGTATATTTTACTTATTTTTGACACAATCACAATGAAATATTTATTCCATTATTTAAAAATGTTATTGCCTACATACAGTGGATTTGTTATCCCTTTTTTCAAACATAAAAATATATTCAAACACTCACACATAGACCATTTCTCGTTTATTTGGACTCACGGGACCTCACAACGAGCATTTTCGTTGAAAACTCAGATTCGAATTTTTTCACGATCGTAATACTTTATCTTACTATTTATTACATATGAGCCTTTCAGTTGACAGAATGACTAACTCCAATTTCAAATTTTTTAAGTAAAGTCATTGTAGTGATATTTCTTGTTGGAAAATTTATAATATCTGTACAGACAGTGAGTAAGCTGATTCCAGAGTAGGCGATTGCTGTGTGAAAATATAGAACTACGAGTAAAGGTATACATTTTCCCACTAGAAATATCATTAAAATTAATAATAAAAAATAGTGAAATTAGAAATAGTCATTCTGTCAACTGAAAGGCTCTTTTATAAGTAAGTAAGAAAGTAAAACATTATTATATGTTTAGGAAACAATATAGAAAATGCAGATTGGGCATTAATTTAAACTAGATGATTCTAATTGAAATCCTCATTAATTTGAAGCTTCGAAGTAATCTGGCGCTATTAATATTACTGATGTATTTTCCTGTAATTAGGATGATGCA